CCCAAATTAGTCATGCAAAAACTTATCTAGCTAATTAATATTTCCCATTCAAAATTTAACTTAAACAACAGCTGCAAATCCCCAAATTTTCCATAAATTTTGTACAGCTAGCTTCGGACAAACATGCATGCAACAGATTGCATTTCTATTTTATTTTTCTGGTTTAAACTAACTAATTAGCTGCATGCAGAGCCTAATTAACTTGTTATTAACCATCTAATCATGGTTATAAGTTTAAACAACAACATCAACAACAACAACAACAAAATCGAACCAAGTTAGGCTGCAATAATCCAGCTAAGCTCTCGGTAGTTTCTATACTAGCACATATCAGAAATTCTTTTCTTAAAAATCTCATCCGGATGCCTAACCCCCACATGCAAGTTCTTAGATGACTTAACCTTATTGTTATTAGTTGGTTAAACACCAAATTGAGCTCAGATTATCGCAGGAAGTCAGAAAGAAAATTACAAATTTAAGCCAGTTCCTCGGCAGAAATTTTCTTAACCAAACCAGAAATTTTCTCTGCTTTAACACATCATCCGAATGCACAATTCAACATGCATGGTCTAAATCTTCAAGTCTTCACTCAGCTAAAGGCACTTAGGTGTTCAGATGCCACTGAAAAACACAAATGGAGTTGCATTATCTCCTCAAATTCTCGGTAGCAACATTTTGACAAAACCGAATTTTTTTTTCTAATGGTTGGATTTCAACATCCGACTGCATAATCTGAACATGCAAGCTTAGATGTAGCTTGCTCAACTAATAATCATCCTACTTAGACCAGAAATTACCTCAGATAGCAGCTAATCCTTCACACGAAATATTCCAGAAATTTCTTCCCTAGCTCTCGGCCAAGTGCAGTCGGTGGATCCTGGCTCCTAAGTTGCGGCTGGAATTGGTTGTGGCTGGTGGATTTGAGGTCGGTTGGTTGGAGTTGGTGGGGATGAAGGTGCAAAATGGTGAAGCTTCCTGGAAATCTCCTCCCTGGCTTCACTCCAACTCACGGCAGGACCAGAAAATTTCTGGCAGCTCACGTTCCCTCCTCCTAGCTCTCGGATGCAGCTCACCCAGCAGCCCTCTCTCTCTCGGATGCTCTCGGTCAAGGTAGAGGAAGAGGTATGGTGTGGTTGTGGAGAGAAATTGCAGTGGCTTCGGTGGAGTGTGCAGAGAAGGAAATGAGACTTGGTGATGATGGTGTCTCGGTATCAAGAGAGGAAGCGGTTTGTGGTTTACTTGTGCAGAGAAGAAAGGAAGTTGCGGTTTGTGTTTGTGATATGAAATGTGAATTAGAGTGAATGGTTTTGTGGTTTTAGCCGTGAGATAGAAAGGATGGTTTGGTGGTGCCGTTGTTTAAGGAATAGAGGTTTCGTGTAAGAATCGATTTCGTATAACAATTGGTTGCGTATCGAATTGGTAATAGCAAATGTGATTTGATTTGCGGTCAGACGTCTTGTTTGGTTTGCATGGAAAGGTAAGGTAAGGGTATTTTAGTCTTTTCACTTTGCTCCCCAATCTCAACTTAATTTCTCAATTCTGACTTAATTCTAAAAATTATCCTCAAGTGTGATTTGAACGCCTAATTATACCCTAATATACCTAAACCATTTTTATCGAATAATTATCGATTAAACTTGAATATTAAGGTTCCTAGAAATTCTTATATTATTTAGCGATTACATTAGTTATAAGTATTTCCAATTATTATTTCTCAAGAATTAGAGTTATTCTAACTCGAAATTTGTCGATTTAGTAATATAAAGTCAAGTGAAATAATAATTTAATCCAAGGGTGTCAATTTGCACATAAAAATTATTTTTACTCACTTATTTGAAAACAAAGAAAGATAAGGATATATTTATCGAATTTTCACACATTAAGTATGTTTAGCATATTAGAATAATATTTATCTAAAATTCATTGGTTTTTTTATCTGAACACGGAAATTCTTATTAACATTTAACATTAGCAACTAATTAGAATTAATCATAGGAACTTAAATAATTTATTTAAAGATAGTAAGTCTATCGATTCAATTATCATTAATTTAGCATAAAGGAATTAAGTATTCTATCATTTTATGTTAAGACGACAAATTAAGCTAACCCTAAGGATATTAATTGAGTCAAATAAAACCAAGAAATTTCATAATTTAGGAAAATTATATTATTTTTTTTGTAAACCTATTATTACGTACTTAATTGCGAACAATTAAAAGTAGTACTAAAAATTATCCAAGAATAAAAGAAATGCAAATGAAATATGCACTAGTTTATATATGCATTTTTCAGGGTTCTCACATCCTCCCCTCCTTACAAGAATTTTGTCCTCAAAATTCACACTTTCTAAGGAAATAAATCAGGGTACTTTTTCTGCATTTTTTCTTCTAATTCCTAAGTTGCTTCCTCAAGTCCATGATTTCTCCATAAAATCTTCACCAGAGGAATTTTCTTATTTCTCAGTTCCTTTACTTCTCTTTCCAAAATCTTGACTGGTCCTTCTTTATACGTTAACGTCTCATCCACTTCAATTCCTTCCAGGAGCAGCACATGACTTGGGTCGGAATAATATTTCTTAAGCATGGAAACGTGAAATACATCGTGAACCTTAGCCAATCTTGCGGGTAACTTCAGCTGATATGCTACATTCCCAACTCGCCTCAGAATTTCGAAAGGTCCGATATACCTTGGCTTTAGCTTCTTACCTTTCTTAGGTACTACTCCGCCCTTCAAGGGTTTAATTCTTAGGAAGACCTTGTCCCCTACTTCGAATTCCAAATCTTTCCTCCTTGTGTCGGCGTAGCTCTTTTGTCTACTCTGAGCGGTTTGAAGCCTTTCTCTAATTAGTTTCACTTTCTCCTGGGCTTCTTCTATCCAAGGTATCGCTGTTGGATCTAAAATCTTCTTCTCTCCTATTTCATCCCAATGAATCGGAGATCGACACCTTCTCCCATACAAAGCTTCATAAGGTGCCATTTGAATTGAGGCTTGATAACTATTGTTATACGCAAATTCTACTAAGGTCATATAATTACTCCATTTACCTCCAAAATCCAATATACACGACCTCAGCAGATCCTCCAAAGTTTGAATTGTTCTTTCCGACTGCCCGTCGGTTTGGGGGTGGTACGCAGTACTAAATTTCAACTTGGTCCCCAAAGACTCCTGAAATTTCTGCCAAAAACGTGAGACAAACCTTGGGTCTCGGTCAGATACAATGCTTACAGGAATACCATGTAATCTTAGGATCTCTTCTGTGTACAACTTGACCAGTTTTTCCAGAGAAAAGTTCATGCTTACGGGTAGGAAATGTGCAGACTTAGTGAGTCGGTCAACTATTACCCAAATTGCATCAAATCCTTTTTGGCTTCTAGGCAGACCTGTTACAAAATCCATTGTGATATGTTCCCATTTCCATTCAGGGATTTCTAATGGTTGCAATAAACCAGAGGGCTTCTGATGCTCAGCTTTTACTTGTTGGCAGATCAAGCATCTCTGAACAAACTCTGCTACATCCTTTTTCAAACCTTCCCACCAGTACAATCGCTTCACATCATGATACATCTTGGTCACACCTGGATGTATGGTATATTTTGATCGATGTGATTCTTCCAAAATTTCTTTTCTTATCTCTTCATCTGCCGGAATCACAATTCGATCTCGGAACCTCAATACACCTTCAGACCCCAATTTAAAATCTAGGGTTTCCCCTTTTTGCATTTTCTCCAAATTCTTCTGAATCACAGGGTCCGTTTTCTGGGCCTCCTTGATACGCTCTAGTAATGGCGATTTTAACGATAAGTTCCCAAGTAAGATCTTCAGTTTTTCTAAACGAGGGTTCCAACTACTAATTTCTTCTAACATGTCCCACTCCTTAACCATTAACCCTGCTACTTGGGCCGTTCTACTTAGAGCGTCAGCTACCACATTAGCTTTTCCCGGGTGGTAGTTAATTGAACAGTTATAATCTTCCAGAAATTCTACCCATCGCCTTTGTCTCAAATTTAATTCCTTCTGGGAGAACAAATACTTAAGGCTCTTATGGTCCGTATAAACCTCAAAAGTCACGCCATACAAGTAGTGTCTCCATTTCTTTAAGGCGAAAATCACTGCTGCTAACTCTAGGTCATGAGTTGGGTAGTTTTGTTCGTGAGGCTTCAGTCTCCTGGAAGCATAGGCAATCACTTTACCGTTTTGCATTAAAACACATCCTAGACCTTCTCTAGAAGCATCGGAGTACACGGCATAACCTTCACCTCCATCAGGTAACACCAAAATAGGAGCGGATGTTAAACGCTTTTTTAATTCCTGAAAGCTTGACTCGCACTTCGGAGTCCAAGTGAACCTATTCCCTTTCTTGGTTAGCTCGGTCATGGGTCCATCAATCTTCGAAAAATCCTTGATAAATCGCCTATAATACCCTGCTAATCCCAAGAAACTTCTAACTTCAGTTGGGCTTTCTGGCTGCTTCCAATTCATGACGGTCTCAACTTTTGCCGGATCCACGGCAATTCCCTCCTTGGAAATTTTATGCCCTAGAAAAGATATTTCATCAAGCCAAAACTCACACTTGCTGAATTTGGCATACAGCTTCCGCTCCCTTAATATTTGCAAGACTATCTCCAAGTGCTTAACATGTTCCTCTCGAGTCTTAGAGTATATCAAGATATCATCAATGAAAACCACTACAAACTGATCCAGATACTTCTTAAAGACTCTCTGCATTAAATCCATGAATGCTGCTGGTGCATTAGTTAAACCAAAAGGCATGACTGCGAACTCAAAATATCCGTATCTCGAACTAAAAGCAGTCTTGGGTATATCCTCCTTCTTAATCTTTAACTGATAATACCCTTGCCTCAAATCCAGCTTAGAGAAAACTACTGACCCTTGCAGTTGGTCAAACAGACTATCGATCAACGGTAGAGGGTATTTATTCTTAATCGTAACCTCATTCAACCCTCGGTAATCAATACATAACCTCAAGCTTCCGTCCTTTTACTTAACAAATAGAACGGGTGCTCCCCACGGTGAATCACTTTCCTTCACAAAACCTTTCTCCAAGAGATCTTGCAATTGAATTTTCAACTCCTTTAGCTCGGCAGGAGCCATTCGGTACGGAGTTTTAGAAATTGGAACCGTTCCAGGCACCAAGTCAATCTTAAATTCCACTTCTCTATCCGGCGGTAAAGTCTTAAGCTCTTCCGGAAAAATATCCGGAAATTCTCGTACCACTGGTACATCCTCCAACTTCACTTGATCTCTGGGAGCATTAATCAAGAAGGCTAAGAAACCTTGAGCTCCTTTTGACAATATTTTCCTTGCCCGAACCTTGAGATCATAGCAGATGATGCTAACCTACCCTTAACATCTAACCTCAGAGTTGTTTCTCCAGGTATACAGAATTCTACCACTTTTGCTCTGCAATCAAGCTTAGCATGATACTGGCCTAGGAAATCCATTCCTATGATGACATCGTACCCTTTTATGTCCAAACTGATTAGATCCATTAGCATTTTACGCTCTCCAATCCAGAATTCACTATTCTTATAGGCGAAGCTAGCGATTATCCTCTTATCACCCATTGGTGTCCTAACTTCAAGATCGAAGGGTAACTTAACAGATCTCACATCTATTCCAGACATAAATGATGGATTTACGAATGAATGAGTTGCACCAGAGTCAATTAACACTTAAAGATTAGAACTTAACTAACTAACCGGATCGTATATTACTTAAGGTATTTCTAGTGATCTCAAAACTTATTCCTAGAGAGGATTAGGGTTTCTAGCACACCTAATATGTCTTTCAAATAACTTTTCTAACCTAGGCTCTGATACCACCTGTGGCGACCCCACTTCCCCCTGAGGCGAACCAAAGGGTTGGCGGGCCGTCTGCCCAACTCTCGCCAGGACTCACGCGAGCAATCTAACCCAAAACCTTTCGAAGAATAAACTAATCTATTACAAAACAATTTTTCCCGAATAGGATCATCCTTAAAGCCACATTAACTTCAGAGATAGCAATGATAAAATAACCAGTCGAGGCCCTTAAACGTCCTACGTGCTACTTACCAAAGTACAAAGTCGTAACAAACCGGATAGATAAAATGCATCAATCCATAATGCAACTTACAAGCCAAGTAATCGAATTAGGGTTTACACATTTTTCCAGCTTCAAGTGGCAATCCAAAAGAAAAGTACATTATCTCAAATAACACATTACAGCCCACAGAATAAGTTATAGTATTCAAATACAATCCAAAAGGAAAACATAAGTAAGCATCCAGCTTTCAGTTTCCAGAACCTGTTAAGGAAAACAATAACCGTGGGGTGAGCTAAAACTCAGTGGTGCCCCAAAACATGCAATAACATAAATCAACCAGCGAGTAATAATTTAATCAAAATTGAACAGCTAGGAAAGCGTGTAACAGCACAAGGTAGGATATAGGGGCTCTCAGGAGCCATTTTCCACGCTTGATCAGATACTATTGTAGTTGACCCTCCGTCAACTTTCACTACTTATAGTCCATGTAGATCCACTTATTTTAATCCTAACCCGTCACCGTTCATACCTCTGCTTCGGGCCCGAACTTCGCCTACCGACGCAGTATACTCGAGATATATCTGTATAAAATTAGTCGAGGGATTCACCCAATGACGTGATTGCAATCAGATTCATGCGTCGAGAAATTCACCCAATGACGTGATTGCAATCAGATTCATGCGTCGAGGGATTCACCCAATGACTTATTGCAGTTAGATTCAAGCGTCGAGGGATTCACCCAACGACGTAACTACATTTAGATTTATGGTAGTTAGATTCACGCGTCGAGGGATTCACCCAACGACGTAACTACATTTAGGTTCATAAAAAAAATGATTCACACAAGCCACCACTCGAACGGCTAGTGCGATAAAGTACACACTGCTCACTTCGATGGATCAAAAACCATTTATTCCATTTTGACAGTTATCACATAGCGAGTTGATAAAGCACTTAACCACATAGGCATAAAACAAGCAGGGACACTCACCAAGAGTGGAGTTCAGATATCAAGTTGGAAATCGTATTCCGCGTCCTCGCAATATCCTAAAAACCAAAATTTTGAAACTATAAGTTTCTATTCACTTTTTAAGCTTATAAACATTGAGGTATATCTAATATACTACTAGTTCACTTTCCCTTAGAAAAATTAAGAGTCCCTTAGGTTAAAACTTTGACAAAAGTAGAAGAAATGTTTCCTATAGTTTTCCTGGGAATACTTTTCTTATAAAAGGGTAACTATTATTATTTTCTTGAAATAAGTCGATAAACCTCTTAATATCAATGTTAGAAAGTTATTTTGAACATTTCTCTAAAGTTACGGCTTTTGCAAAAATTATCCCTAAAAACCATTTTTCCTAAAATAAGGTTTCTTGCCGAGCAAGTTTCCCAGGCTTTTCACCAAAATTAGTAAAACTCGTATTTTGGAACCTTTTCTATAGTGAAGTAGCCAAGAGCAATACTTAAAGAAAAGAAAAGGGATAAAATAAGACTTAGGGTTTTCAAAAGCTATAGAACTTATTTACTAAAGCTATCAAGGCTAGTTTGAACTTAAGGAAATTATCGGGTTGGAAAGTTTTAGGCAAAACACTAGATATGGAGTTTTATAATATAATACTAGCTGGAAAAATATTTTTGATAATTTGATCACAGCTACTCGAGTTCACAAGGTCGATACAACTTCCACAGCTCCGATTCCGTTTCGAAATCATAATATGGATCAAAATATGGCAAAAATCACATAGCAAATTACTAAGGCTTCGTCAATCATTAGCCCTAGATTTCAACAAATGCATTTCTGATAAAAATAAAATGAACGACCAAGGCTTCATTAATCATTAGCACTTGGTTTCAGCAAGCTCATCATAAGCAAATAAAAATAAAAGTAAGGCCTCCAAGACATTCCAGCAATTAACTTTCATCACCCTGTAGTACTTATAAAATCATTCAAATGGCCAAGGGCTTCATCAATCATTAGCCCTTGACAAAATCAATTACTTCCAACCACAATTTAATCAAGAATTTAAACCACAAGTAAGCTAAAATCTCAATCCAAAACCCAATTTCAATTTCACAAAGAAACAGGACATTCCTACCAAAACAATCTACTTCAAGGATTTACAGACAGCAGTACACATGGAGGAAAAATGCGAAATTTCTACCGGACAAAGGCCTATGATTCTATTTTCAAATGCCACTGACGGCGCCTTAAACATATTTTCCTACACCAAGATATAAACATTTTATTGAGACTGGTCAGGGACATCCGAAAATCTGAAATTTCAATTTTTCACTTGTGAAAACTCCTTTTTCTCTTTTAACACTAAAATGTTTTTATTCAAACCATCCATACACTTCTTATAGAACTTCAAAACAACATATTCCAAGCATTTCCACCCATCATGATTCAAGGAACAATTTAAAAATCAAGTTAAGGTTCTAACTCACCCTTTGGCTATCACTTAAGAATTTCCAACATGTATACCCCAACATTTTCTGGTTCCATTTTCAATTTATCAAATATTTCATTGATAACCAACTTACACAACTTACAACTTACAACTCCTCTGTATTTCAAAACCATTATATTCCAAGGAAAAAAATCCAGAAATAGTTTAAAATCCAAAAGAAAACAAACTGAAAATTCTGATCAAACCTCTCGGCTATTCCAGAATTTTTTCAGCACTTAGGTGTTTATAAATCCAATTTTTTCTCGGCTAAAACATGGTTTTAGATACCCAAATTAGTCATGAAAAAACTTATCTAGCTAATTAATATTTCCCATTCAAAATTTAACTTAAACAACAGCTGCAAATCCCCAAATTTTCCATAAATTTTGTACAGCTAGCTTCGGACAAACATGCATGCAACAGATTGCATTTCTATTTTATTTTTCTGGTTTAAACTAACTAATTAGCTGCATGCAGAGCCTAATTAACTTGTTATTAACCATCTAATCATGGTTATAAGTTTAAACAACAACATCAACAACAACAACATCAACAACAACAACAACAAAATCGAACCAAGTTAGGCTGCAATAATCCAGCTAAGCTCTCAGTAGTTTCTATACTAGCACATATCAGAAATTCTTTTCTTAAAAATCTCATCCGGATGCCTAACCCCCACATGCAAGTTCTTAGATGACTTAACCTTATTGTTATTAGTTGGTTAAACACCAAATTGAGCTCAGATTATCGCAGGAAGTCAGAAAGAAAATTACAAATTTAAGCCAGTTCCTCGGCAGAAATTTTCTTAACCAAACCAGAAATTTTCTCTGCTTTAACACATCATCCGAATGCACAATTCAACATGCATGGTCTAAATCTTCAAGTCTTCACTCAGCTAAAGGCACTTAGGTGTTCAGATGCCACTGAAAAACACAAATGGAGTTGCATTATCTCCTCAAATTCTCGGTAGCAACATTTTGACAAAACCGAATTTTTTTTTCTAATGGTTGGATTTCAACATCCGACTGCATAATCTGAACATGCAAGCTTAGATGTAGCTTGCTCAACTAATAATCATCCTACTTAGACCAGAAATTACCTCAGATAGCAGCTAATCCTTCACACGAAATATTCCAGAAATTTCTTCCCTAGCTCTCGGCCAAGTGCAATCGGTGGATCCTGGCTCCTAAGTTGCGGCTGGAATTGGTTGTGGCTGGTGGATTTGAGGTCGGTTGGTTGGAGTTGGTGGGGATGAAGGTGCAAAATGGTGAAGCTTCCTGCAAATCTCCTCCCTGGCTTCACTCCAACTCACGGCAGGACCAGAAAATTTCTGGCAGCTCACGTTCCCTCCTCCTAGCTCTCGGATGCAGCTCACCCAGCAGCCCTCTCTCTCTCGGATGCTCTCGGTCAAGGTAGAGGAAGAGGTATGGTGTGGTTGTGGAGAGAAATTGCAGTGGCTTCGGTGGAGTGTGCAGAGAAGGAAATGAGACTTAGTGATGATGGTGTCTCGGTATCAAGAGAGGAAGCGGTTTGTGGTTTACTTGTGCAGAGAAGAAAGGAAGTTACGGTTTGTGTTTGTGATATGAAATGTGAATTAGAGTGAATGGTTTTGTGGATTTAGCCGTGAGATAGAAAGGATGGTTTGGTGGTGCCGTTGTTTAAGGAATAGAGGTTTCGTGTAAGAATCGATTTCGTATAACAATTGGATGCGTATCGAATTGGTAATAGCAAATGTGATTTGATTTGCGGTCAGACGTCTTGTTTGGTTTGCATGGAAAGGTAAGGTAAGGGTATTTTAGTCTTTTCACTTTGCTCCCCAATCTCAACTTAATTTCTCAATTCCAACTTAATTCTAAAAATTATCCTCAAGTGTGATTTGAACGCCTAATTATACCCTAATATACCTAAACCATTTTTATCGAATAATTATCGATTAAACTTGAATATTAAGGTTCCTAGAAATTCTTATATTATTTAGCGATTACATTAGTTATAAGTATTTCCAATTATTATTTCTCAAGAATTAGAGTTAGTCTAACTCGAAATTTATCGATTTAGTAGTATAAAGTCAAGTGAAATAATAATTTAATCCAAGGGTGTCAATTTGCACATAAAAATTATTTTTACTCACTTATTTGAAAACAAAGAAA